CTGCACTCCAGTCTGGGCGACAGAGTGAGACTCCAACTCAAAACAAAAACAAAAAAAAAATGTGATGAGGCTGGCCAGGCTCGGTGGCTCAGATTACAGAATCTCAGCACTTTGGGAGGCCAAGGTGAGTGGATTGCCTGAGCCTACAGGTTTGAGACCCGCCTAGGCAACTTGACAAGACCTCATCTCTACAATAAATAAAAAATTAGCCAGGTGTAGTAGTGTGTGCCTGTAGTTCCAGCTATTTGGAAGGCTGAGGTGGAAGGATCACCAGAGCCCAACAGGTAGAGGCTGCGGTGGCCAGGAGTGTGCCACTGCACTCCAGTCTGGATGGCAGAGTGAGACTACAACTCAAAAAAAAAAAAAAAAAAAGAGTGATGAGGCAAACCACCAAACAGAATAACTGTTAACTGTGAAACACAATAAAGATGCAAGATGCATCATTCTAGTTCATTAAAAAAAAATAACTGTAAATACACATTCAAAAAAAGAGTCAAGACAGAGCAACAGTCCCATCTACCCCATGTCTCTCACACTCCATGATGAGCTATACAGGGAGGCCAGGCTGGTCTCTTCTACACTCTGCCCAGGAACTCCACCAAGTAGCTGAGCTCACCTTTCACAAACATGGAGCATGCAGTCCCAGCAGCTTCCTGCCACTCAGTGAGAGGACCACCCTTCCTGCAATCTCCAAAACACGTCTCTTTGTGACTAGCCTCCCCAGAATGACTTCTGTTGTCCCTTTTTCCACCCACATTCTGCTTAGGATCCTTAGTTCTCTAGATGGATGAAACCTTTCCAGCAGCACTCTCTTCTTTCTGAGCCCTTACCAGAATCACCTGCTAAGGCCATTCATGGCAATGTGGGGTTTTTCCAGCCTGCACCACAAAACTCTTCTAGCTCTGTCCATTGCCTAGATACAAAGCCGCTTTCACACTTGGAAGTATGTTACAGCCATACTCACTTCTCGTGCCAGTTTCTATCACAGACCATTCACACTGCTATAACAGAATACACAGACTAGGTGACTTATAACCAACAAACACTTATTCACAATTCAAGGACCCACAGATTCCATGTCTGGTGAGGGGTCCCTTTCTGATTCATAGATGATGTCTTCTCACCATGTCCTCACGTGGTAGGCATGCCCCCTTCTACCCAGCTTGTTGGAGCCTCCTTCATTAGGGCACTGATTCCACTCACAAAGGCTCTGCCCTATGACCTCATCACCTCCTAAAGGCTTCACCTCCTAATGCATCCCCCTTGGGGATTAGGATTTCACCCTATGCATTCTGGGCAACACAAAATTCAGTCTGTTGCACACTGGAGATAAATTATGCCTCAATAAAAAAAATAATTTTTTTTGAGTTGGAGTCTCACTCTTGTCACCCAGGCTGAAGTACAGTGGCACACTCACTGCCACTGCAGCCTCAACCTGCTGGGGCTCAGGCAATCCTTCCATCTCAACATTCCAAGTAACTGGAACTACAGGCATGTGTCACCATGCTCAGCTACTTTTCTTTTTTTTTTTTTTGTAGAGATGAGGTCTCGCCAAGTTGCCCAGGCTGGTCTTGAACCCGTGGGCTCAGGCAAGCTCTCTCACCTTGGCCTCCCAAAGTGCTGGGATTACAGGCCTAAACCACCGTGACCAGCCAGAAAATTAACTTTAAACTAAAGGTTTTTAGAAACTGAACTCTCCACCAGTCCACGCCTCTGCCTGCCATTGCGTGCCAACCACCCCCCCACCATGCCCATGCGAGCCAGGGATGCTGCACTTCCTCGTGCCTCCTGCCCTCACTCAGCCCTGTCATCTCTCCGCCCCCTTCTCTACCCGACAGCCTCAGCTCAGGAGCACCCTGTTGAGCTCCATCCTGCCATACCACTCTTGGCCACTACCTTCTTGCTCCCCCAGGCCTCCTCACCCTACTCTCAACTTCAGCCGGAGGGGGCCGAATTTGGGGGCCCCAAATTTTGCTCTAACCCTCAAGACTCCCCCTGAGAGTCCATCCCAACTGTCCCCTCGGGATTCCACCCTTACAGCCTTCTGCTTGGAGGGGTTCTTCCCAGCTGCCCACCTGGCTCACCACCCCATCTCTAGCACCCCAAGAGTCACAGCCCTGGATGCCTGAACACATCATCAGCACCCTTCAGCTCCATTTTATTTCTAACACACCCAGCAACTTCTTTTCTGACCTGCTCATCATCTGCCTCCTCCACAGGACATGAGCACCCACATTCCCAGCCCACCAGATCCAGAATGACCTTTACACGGGCACTCAGGACCTGACACTGGATCCTGGTTACTGGCCCCTGCTGTCTGGGGATGCCCCAAGCTAGAATACAGTGTGAAGGCCGACCCCGCCCACCCACCCTCTTTTCCTGGGGTCCCCTTGGCCTTCGCCCATCCCACCAGCAGGAAGACCTTTTCCACTTTGCAGTGCACGCCCCCTCATACCTCTCACTCTCTCTGCTTCTCCAGCAGCTTAGTGAGGCCCCAATACCCGCTGCCCTCACCACAACCCCACCCATGGTCACCAGTCATCTGTGTGTCTGTCCTCCATGAGGACACAATCCTAAAAATCACGCTGGGCCTTTTATTTTAGAACTGCAATGCTTTTTTGCAGTTAAACACACTGGTACATCCACTCCATTGAACCCTATACAGTGGCACAAAGGACAACCAGATGATCTCCAGAGAACTATGCTGAATGAAAAAGCCAACCCAGGAGGTTATCTACTGCAAGATCTCATCCCTATCTCACCTTGAAAGGACAATGTGACAGGGCTGAAGAAGCGACCAATAGGGCTAGGGACCAAGGGAAGCTGGTGAAGGAGGAGAGTGGAGTAGACACAGTAGGACAACCCAAGGGTTGACTTGTCATCATTTGAAAACTGTGTGATCCTCAAAACTGGAGACTTCACATCCATCCGATGTGATGGCCGTAGCCACATGCAGTCATAGAATTTACATGCAGTCATATAATTGTAAACTTAGGTCACATATATTTAAAGTGGTTCCTAAGTCACACTAGCCGCACTCCAAAGCCCAGGGACCACACACCACAGCAGCCACTGGATCTGAGCCCTGAACACTCCATGTCACATTGAGACCTGCTGGGCAGCACTGCTCAGTCCCTCAGCCAGCTCAGGACAGCTGGCACTGTGGATGCCACCTCATGCCACTAGTCATGGAAAATATCAGATGACTCAAAGCACAGCCCCGATTCTCAAGATAATTACTGTCCTACTGGAGCAGGGATGGACAGGGGGCAGTGGGAACCAGATATAACCTCTCAACTTTCTGTCACAGCCTGATAATCCTATGGTATGGCGAAGGCTAAGCAGGAAGAGCTAAGTGTGGTCTCAGTAGCAATAGGTTTCTGTAAAATGGAGGAGTATACAGAAGAAGTAGGGAAGGCACTTCACATCAGCCACACTGGATGGGGTGAGGACAGGGAGGACACAGGACCTGGTAGAATGTCGACGAGAAGGGCCCAGCACCCTCCCAAGCACAGCACAGCAGCCCAGGTTAGCCAATGTTAGCCACCACCCACGATGGATCCCTGGACTGGGGGAAGCATCCCCAGGATCATCCCCTCAGCTCTGCTGACCCAGTGGCCTCCTCATTCCCAGACCTGGACCAAGGGCTGGACTTGTAGCACTCACAGGCTGCTCAGGGTGGGCTGGACAAATGACCCAGACCAGCACTATGGCTACAGCACTGACTGAATGTTGAATGATTTTTTTATTTTACTTATATTTAATTATTTTACATTTTAGTTTTAAAACTGATACTCATTTTAGTCACTGAAACAGTTTTAAGTATATTTAGAACAACTTGGGTATGTGAATCTACTTAATCAACTATAAATTTTGGCTAGGTGCAGTGGCTCATGCCAGTAATCTTAGGAGGCCAAGGCAGGTGGATCACTTGAAGCCAGAAGTCTGAGACCAGCCTGGGCAACATAACAAGACCCTGTCTTTACAAA